TGAAAACATACTGTGGTGTCACGATATTCCATGGATATTAGTACGAAACTTGACGTTCGCTGGAGCTCAGCGTGGCAGGAAGGGCGTGGAGAATTCGTTTTTATTAACGGTGTGCAAAAAAAATCCCCACAAAAAACGTGCAAATTCGTTTTTATTAGCTGTGTTCAAGTGGTTCATGCAGCTTTCTCACCGACCACAGCTCCACGAGACCCCCGGATGGTTCTTCAAGAGCTCTTGCAGGACTTTCTTTTCCAGGAGCAGCTGGGAATCTCTTTTTCCAAGTCTGCAGCTGGGAAGCGCCGTGTTGAGGGATGAGCACGGAGAGGGTGGGGAGAGAAGCACCACCAGTAAGAGATGGAGTACAGGGGAGAAGGGTGACTGCCTGGAATAACGGGCAGGGAAGCTGTGAAAATGGATTTTCCTGAGAAGGATGAATTGGAGACCTTGGAGCTAGTAGGGAAAAAGGAGTCAGGAGTGGGTGAGTGACAAACCAGAGCGAGCCAGAGGAAGCTGGGACTCGATGGATGTTTGAGATGAGGAGGGAACAGTGTGCTGGAAAGCAGTTCACCTTTTCCATGTGGGAATCACTGCCAAAGAGATGTGATGGCCGAGCCTGCTTTTCGGACACCGCTGGCTCCGTGCCCTTCCATGAAATTCGGGAGCTGCAGTCCGGGTCCCCTGTTTGCGGTGGGTGAGCTCGGACACGGCGTGCCCGGCAGTTCACGGCTCAAGGAGCTCCAGTGACCCGTCACTTTTTTTTGTTGTGGAAGTTACTGGTCCTGCTGCGGGAATGTCACGTTCCCGCTCACAGCAGCTGCTGTGCCGCTGTGGTTTACGGCCCTGTGGTTTAACGTAAGCTGAAGTGCTCGGGAACGTTTTAACTCCCACAGATGAACCCCCCCCGTGGCAGGGGGGTTGGAACTGGATGGTCTTTGTGGTCCCTTCCAGCCCAAACAGTTCTGTGATTGATTCTGAACTGTTCCCCGTCAGCTGTTCGTGGCTGGTGAAGCCACATGTGCGGTGAGGATGGAGATCCCTCAGAAGGTCGTGGCAGAATCATGGAATCACAGAATGGTTTGGGCTGGAAGGGACCACAAAGACCATCCAGTTCCAACCCCCCTGCCATGGGCAGGGACACCCTCCACTACACCAGGTTGTCCAAAGCCTCATCCAACCTGGCCTGGAACACTTCCAGGGATGGGGCAGCCACAGCTTCTCTGGGCAACCTGTGCCAGTGCCTCACCACCCTTAGAGGGAAGAATTTCTTCCTTAGATCTCATCAAAATCTGCCCTCTTTCAGTTTAAAGCCATTGCCCCTTGTCCTGTCACTCCACACCCATGTCCAAAGCCCCTCTCCAGCTTTTCTGTAGCCCCTTTAGGCACTGGAAGGCTGCTGGAAGGTCTCCCCGGAGCCTTCTCTTCTCCAGGCTGAACAGCCCCAACTCTCCCAGCCTGTCTCCCAGGCCGGTTGTCCTGCAGTGGGATATCTCCAGCTGTGTGTCAGAGCCCTTCAGCCGCCAGGAAAAGTTGGTGGGAGTAAACAAGACTACAGGGCTCCTGTTTTGCAGGAAAAGCGGTGCGTTGCCTGTGCAGGCATCGTCCGTGCGTAACGGTCATGGCTGCTGGAAGCTACATCCGGAGCGCGGGGGAAGAGAGTCCAGATGGCAGCAGGCATCTCGGTGTGGTACAGTGCATGGAGCAGAACCGTCCCGAGTCCCAGGTTTTACTGGGAGGCTGTGGGAGCTCGGCACTCAGGCTCGGTGCTGGAGTGAGTAGAAGAGGTGAGCAGGCTCTGCCCTGGTTCCACCCAGCACGCAGAGGTGGAAATCCGTGGGTCGTTCCGAGCAGTTCCGAGCCAGCACCGGAAGGTTTTCCTGGGGCTTTACTCAACGCCCGGAATTTAATCACTGGCTCCAAACTGGTCCGGGTCACAAGAACGAGGCGGGGAAGTGCAGCGTGCAAGAAACCCACTGAATCCCCGTACTGGCACAATGGGAAACGGGCAAATCTCTCCTGAAGTCGTGGTAGATTGAGGATATTTTACTTCCTACGTACATCCTTGATTCCCTGCTGATGGAATTCACCTAGTTAACGTTATATTTTCTCTTTTGATATTTACTCCCTTTGTTTTATGCACTGACTCAATGCTTCCAGATGGGAAAGTGTGACTTTTCTTAAGAACTTGGGAAAAGCTCTTTTCCTCCCAGCTTCCTGGGAGAAGACGAGCCAGTCAAGCCTGTTTTAGATGGTAATTTTATGAAAACCGGAACGCGACGGCTCTTCGTAACATCTGGCCCAAAGTTACAGCGACGCAGCTCTGAGTCATCTTAGGAAAAGGTTTGTCTGGTGCAATTTGGGAAAAGTAGCATGTGGTCATGTAATTTAGGAATCTAGGAGAATGCGTGTGCCTCTGAGCGGAATTATATTGCATTGGCAACATTAATGTTATCATTTATTATCCTTAATGGCTCGATTTTGCCTCTTTTAAGTTATTATTTTAATATAATTTCTGACATAGTTTCAGTGAACTGTAAAATGTGTTGCCAAGCTGTTTCATCTTACCAGTTGTAAAAACAACACAGATCTAGGGAAATGCAATCAAATGCTGTATGTGTGTTCAATAAAAATATAAACATCAATATCACATCAATTTCTGCATAAATAGTTAGCATGTGCCCGTATAAAATGCAGCTACCTTTCTATTTACCTATCTTCGGCAATCTTTTCCTTAATTAATAGGTATATATCTTCTAAATAATTATTAATATTCCCACACATATTAATTTGCCACTGCTGCAGACGAGTTGGGTCAGGTTTATATGAAAACATACAATTCCCTTGTGATGAAACAACATGCAAAATATACCAGCCCACACTCATTTTACTTCTGCCATGCATTTGGAACTATGATTGTGACTTCGAGAGTCGTCGGCAGGGTCTTTACTGTGCCCAGTTCGGAGGAGAAAACATCTCCCCATGATTCGTTGGGCATCTTCCATCGCTGTTTTCCTGGTTCTCAGAATTCCGGTTCGAAACGTCATGCTGCGCTCCCAAGAGGCATCGGA